TATTATGAAATTTACCCTGGGATGATTTGGTAGACAATGTAAAGAGCATATAGAAAAAATAAAAAAAATTTTTTTTTCAAGGAAAATTGGTTTTTATGAAATACAAAGTATTGTTAAGGATTATCATCTGTAAAAAAAAAATTATTACTAAAAAAAAATGACATATTTACTATATAGTGAATTTAATCTACTTTTTGTACTATATATGTTAAAAAAAATGGATCAGCACTAATGATCAGTGTGTATGTGTTTGTCGATCAAATAAAAATTTCTCTTTTTTTTTTCTAAAGAAAAACAAGTCAACAAAAGAAGAAGAGATGAAAAATTTGGTGCTGAAAAAGGTAGATGTTTATTAAAAGAACAGTGATGGTTATTGCCACTACTCATCATTCTAGTTAAAAAAAAAAGAATGGTAGTGGTTGTGACATGTCAAAAGAATGCAACTAGTTTAACTAGTGTAAGTAAATTTTATTAATGACTTGTGATAATATGAACTTTCCAACAATTCAGTAAAAATAATAACATCACGTTATCTTCAAAACAGAAATTTATTTATGATCTCATTATTAAAAAGAGAGAAACACATTTTTCACTGGAGCAGGGGGTAAGCTATTTATATTGATTATTTTTATCATTATCATCACTATTGCTTTAAAATAAAATGATAATAATGATAATGTCCATTGTCATATTAGGAACCGGAAAAACTTTATTATTATCAAAAATAACTTCAAACCTTAAGGGAATTGATGGAAGTGATAAAGTAGCTATAACTGCTACAACTGGCATAGCAGCAATAAAAATAAATGGTATCACATTACATTCATTTGGAGCAGGGTTGGCAAATTGACTGGTCAATTGAGAACAGATGGATTTTGTACTGGTCCATTGCAATTAATAAAATACTAAATATGGTCAAAGTGTTACACTAATGGACCCAATGGACCACCAATAGACTGCACATTTGCCAACCCTGGTTTGCAGGGATCAGACTTGGTAATGAATCAGCTGAAGAACACATACAAAGAATCAAAACATTGATAATTGATGAAAATAAGTTTATTATTGATTTATATATTTATTAGCATATTAGTTGATATCATATAATAATGAATTATTGATCACTGTAAAAAACTCCAAAAATCATTACAAAATTATTAAAAAGTCAAATATTTGTTACATATTGTATGGTTAATTTTTTTTATTGTTTTAAATAAAAATAGTCTCAATGTTAGATGGCAGACTTTTTGACAAGTTAAATATAATCACACAAGTTATTCATGATGATAGATGACCATTTGGTGGCATTTTGGTATAACCCTTTTTTTTTATTTATTAATTGTTTAATGTAATAAATGATAGGTACACTAATATTAGCTTGAGCTATTACAGTCGGCGCTCGATATAGTGAAGTTTTGGCTAGTACAAATTTGGAAACTATCTGCGTTAATATCCAATCAA